TGGACAAGTGTACCAAATTCAAAGCTCCCTAGAGGAGGTAAATGTGTATTTTGACTAGCAGTCTGATTGTCTACAACTTAAAAAGCCTCCTATTTGTAAGTGAACACCTTGGAGACTTATTCAAATGAATTGTTTATCCTGATCAGTGAATGAATAAAAATTTTTGTCTTATCTATTTTAATGCAGAAACGTTTGAGAATCATACCTAGCAAAAAGAGTTTGCGATTCTTAGCATGGGTTTACTAAAATTTCAGAATCATGGAGATTATAAGAATGAAAATCATGTCTGGTCCACAGCTTTGGGAAAACATTAAAAGCTCAGTCGCAAATTCGTAACAAATACGATATGTGCGCCATGATATTTTGTCTTTTACAAAAAGATGCTTATGCTTCGATAGCAATGGGTCACATGAGTGAAACAGGTGATCTGCAAAGACTGAATTTTTCATGCGTAAATATATAATAAAACCAGAGATTTTTATTGAAGTAAACTGGAGGACGGATCTGATCAGGATTAGGTTTGAATAATGCACGTATTGCAGCTTCTGACAAAAGTGGAACATGTTTTCTAGGAATTGTGTATATTGCACTTTATTTTTCTTTTTGCACGTCATTGAGTGAATAATTTTAAATATAATGTATTTTTGATAATTTTCCCATCTGAAGATTTTCCTACCTTTCATCCACGGTTTTACCGTTTGAAGGTAAATATGGAATCGATGCCTATATTTTATCATACATGTAGCAATCAATAACACAGAACTCTAAATCCAACAATATCAGATACTTGTATAGATTTGTGTACTGGAGTACAAACTTTGTGTGAAATAATAAAAATTTTATATAAATTATACGGTCAGGAACCGTGTCATATCTGTATTTCAATTTCCGGAGATTGTAGAAGATGTGAACAGGTGGACAAATATAGTCTGGCTAGTAGTCCCTGAATCAGTTTCAGTTTGGGGCACAACCCAACACAAATTCCTTGACAAAAAATTCGTAAGACTTCAGCATTGAAGTGAAACAAATAAGCAAAGTAAATTATCATTGTTTTTTTCCATAAAATATATATTGGCAAAATTATCGGGAGGGAACCCTCCCTCCCCCCCCCCCCCCCGGTTTCCTACGGGCCTTTTAGTACATCAAGTTTTTGTTTCACCGCCAATAACGACCAATGTATACATTGACCTTTACATTAAATCACAGACAAATCTAACAATAATCTGTCCCCCCACGCTTTCTAACACTCTGAATATTAATAACGTCTTGTTGAACAGTCGGAGATTCCAAGACGACCGATCGGAGCGATACAGTTTCCCGAGGGAATAGTCCGAGTTTAATCAATAGACAATATCTAACATTTGGCTGCAATTGCCTACAAAATGACCAAATCTGGTTACGGGATAATAAAAATTTATAAACCTTGATGCAATGTTTGTTTTTTAAACTGTTGCCTTAACTGGTCCTTGAATATGGTTAGTCTCCTTCTGAGCAGCATAGAATTCCTTGCACACTTTTGAAGATACTATACTACGCTATAACTAAAACTTAAAATATGACGCTAGTTTAAGCGTGTGGACAGGAGCACTCCGTTTCGTAGTGTCGGATAAAGTGATTGCTATTTTGCAGAGCAAATGAAAGAAAATTTACTGTGTTTATAACTGCTGAAAGTAATTTGGATGCGTAATATTTAAGTATAGAAATACTGCAGGATTGCACGTGCTATTGTTCTTTAATTAATATGGACATTTGTTGAAAAACTATATCCAGGACTTCGTGAGAGAGGTTAAAAAAAAAAGAGAGAGAAAAGTCAATGCTTAAATCATGACAGACTCGTATTCAAATTATGCATCGGGTGTTATATATTAATTGAGGTAGCGATTAACTTACACATAACGGAAATGCCATGAAGTTACAGACCGCTTCGTATTTCTGGATTGCCTAGACTTCGATCACCTGGTTGGACTTCATGTTTAAATCGAAATGTGAAAGTACTTTGAGGACGGAAAAATTGTAAAAGGACTTCATCTAAATTAGAAGCTAGAACTCGATGACAAAAAAATTAATTGTAAATGTTGAAAAATCTACGATCAGGGTGCAATCTAATCTGTCTTCCTTATTTCACATCATTTAAGAAAAGACATGCTCGACTTGAATTGTCGAGGATGTATATTTAAAGGGAAATATGAGAATATTTTAGAAGACAATTCGCAAACATTTGCAAATGGACAACATTTAAATCAGAAAATTGCGGGTTAATATTGTAAAACTCTCCGATCAGGGTGCAATCTAACTTTATCCTCGATATTTCAACACCATTTCGGGACATTCTTCCTAAGATGAATAATATCGGTCCTGATTTTGTGAGCAGAACAATAAGTATTTTCATCGCCATTTTCGCCGTCATCATCATTATCGCCACTGTCTTCGGGAACAGTCTGGTGATACTATCAATCCTCACGGACAGACGTCTACACAGGGTAGGTAATATCTTCATTGTCAGCCTCGCTCTCAGTGACGTCCTTGTCGGCATTTGTGTGACCCCCTTTGCGCTGATTTATCAACTCCAGGGGACCTGGAACTTCGGGCCCGTTTTCTGTGAATTCTGGGTTTCTATGGACATCATTTGTTGCACTGCTAGCATCTTGAATCTGTGCATGATCAGCTACGACAGATATAATGCTATAGCGCAACCTCTCCATTACGCACAGTTCAGAACAGTTCGGAGGGTCCTGTTTTTGGTCACTATTGCCTGGGTGTATTCTATAGTCATTGCTTTACCACCCCTTCTCGGATGGAAAACACCGGATCCAAAGTCCCCAGAGTCATGTGCCATTTCTCAAAATGTGGGATACACACTGTATTCTACTATTGGAGCGTTCTATTTACCATTAATCGTAATGTTGTGTTTCTACTGCAAAATATTTCAGGTCACGTGGTTAAGAGGTAAACAGTGGGTGAGGGGTCCAGGAAATAGTTTGATCATTAAATCTATGAACAGGTTTCAAAAGAGACGGAAGTGCTACTCCTATAAAACATGTGGTTTATATTGTAATAAAGGAGAGGAAGGGGAAGGCAAGAACAAGCCTATTGGTAATACAGAAAACGAAAATCAAGGTCAACCGAATGAGACATCAACTGAAATGAAACAGGAAGTACCTGTGACTGATAATAATCAAACTCTTGATCAGCCAAAGATAAAACCAAGACGTCCCATTCTAGTGCGTCAGATTTCTTTTCTTTCTAGCACTGATTCCGGATACACTACCACGTCTGGTGAAGCCTCCATTTCAAGTGACACCACGACAACAAAAGATTATCCAGAACGCATGCCCAGCATTGCAGAGGACGAAATTATTACTGAAGTTGTGGACAAGGAAACAGGGAAGCTTATAAGTCAATGTCGGGGAGGACAGACCATAAAGAATGGAGACGACCTAAACTTTCCAAAAACATCACTGACAACAGGAAATTCAGGCGAAAATCAAGTAAAAAATGTCCTAAAACGTCGCCATTTGAAGCGTCGAGACACGATTTCTCTGCCTCAGGAGCGTCGAGCTGTCCGTACTCTGGGTATCGTGGTGGGGTGCTTTTTGATCTGTTGGCTTCCGTTCTTCATTGTAGCACTGTTAGTGCCTTTATGTCCAGAAGGTGTCTTCCCGGAGTTTGTACAGAGCCTGGTGCTTTTTCTCGGTTACTTTAATTCAGCCTGTAATCCGGTTATTTATACATTCTTCAACAAAGAATTCAGAGCCGCTTTCAAGAAAATTTTATGCTGCAAATTCAGGATTCCCTCCCCCACGTATCTGTAGCTGGGTTTTTCTTTAGCTTTGTATTTTAAATCAAAAAGAACCTAAAGTTAAGGACTTTTTAGCTCATATGAGCTTAGAGCTCAAGTGAGCTTTTCTGATCACATTTTGTCTGGCGTCCGTCTGTCTGTCCGTCTGTAAACTTTTCACATTTTCGACTTTTTCTCAAGAATGCCTGGGCCTATTTTGACCAAACTTGCCACATTCTTGGGTGGGATTCAAGTTTGTTCATATGGAGGGGTACGCCCTTTTTGAGGGGAGATAATTAAGAATTTTTGGCGTCATCTTTTAAAAATCTTCTTCCCAAGAACAAGAAAAGTTGAAACTTAACTGAAACCTTCATTACATAGTGTAGATTCAAATTTATTCAAATTACCGGGTATGACTCCAGGGCTTCCCCCTGGTGTCATAATTTGAATAAATTTGAATCTACACTATGTAATGAAGGTTTCAGTTAAGTTTCAACTTTTAAAGTTAAAGGTGGGGAGACAGTGGGCGGATCAAACTTTTACATAGGAATATATAGGAAAAAACTTTAATATATTTACAAATCTTCTTCTCAAGAACAACAAAGCTATGATTAGTCATATTGATATGGAGGCATCTCCAGGTAGTCAAGTGTAGATTCAGGATTGTTCAAATCATGACCAGGGTAGGGTGGCAAGTGATCAAAGCTTTACATATGAATATATAGGGGAAGAAATCTGCTGCTGAAGAACAGTAGGGCATATTGACTCAGGTGAGCATTGTGTCCAATGGGCCTCTTGTTTTGGTCTTACTTTTTTTTTGACTCAGTGCATATGTGTGATTATACATGCTTTTAAACAATAATTAATCTTAGAGAATGTATACAGAAATGCTGGAATAAATGCCAATATCCTCCATTTTGTTCAGAAAACAGAGTACATGCTAGCCTATCAGATAAATTTATACATCTGATGCACAAATATCAAATATGCTTGACAGAAAATCACCTATATAAGAAAATTACAAAAAAGCATCTCACTTTTCTAAAATCTCTTGATTTCTGTTTCAATGTTTACGTCAATTAAAGAGCCTTGTGTGTCTATACCTGCTTCCTTAAACTTCTACATTATGTGCTCATGGAATTGTTCTGTTTCAGATTAAGTACAAAACCATGTATATTTTAAGTTATTAGCTCAACTTAAATCTGAACAAGTCACAAAATGCTTACATATTCACATAAATTTAATGATAAAATATTTTTTACAGGATAAAGTCTTTGTGTTTTCAATGAAATTCATTTGCATCCTTTTTTTGTTATTCCATGAACCATTAGGCACAACGAGCAGGCTACTAAAATTTTTACATGATATATTATTTCTTTTGCAAAAATGAAGTATTGAATGCAGTAAAAATAAAGCTTTCACAACTATTGACCTCAAGTATCTAATCCAAGAGGAGATATTGTCTGACCACTATACACTTCAAAACAATCTCCATAAATACTGACTACCACTCCCATTGTTAAATCTTCATAAATATTGACTGCCCTTCCCATGGCTAAATCTACTGTTGAGGTTCTGTGATTTCTTGATAATAGACTTCCTTTGTGCTTCATCAAATCTGTTCGCTTGAAGGTCAAGGTCACGATCAAAAGGTCGTCGTTCTTTAGGTTTGTTTTCCTCCTCTTTCTGTTCAATGAAAAAGAAAAAATTTTATAAATTTTCACTGAATTAAATCCAACATTTTTATATGCTTCATATGGACTTTGTTTATAATTCTAAACTTTTTTTTAAAAGAAAGATCAAATCCTTCAGCTATAAGTTTTAATTCTAGACATTAAGTCATCATAAATTCCACAAAATAGATTCATTTTTCTTCCTTTCAACATACAATGTTCTTATACCAGGGATGGGGTAATCGTAATCGAGTAATCGTAATCGATTGTAATGATGACTTTTTATCAAGTAATCGACAGTAATCTGTAATGGAAGAGATTTTCGATTACTTGTAATCGTAATTTAATCGATTACAGCTAAAATTTTCAATATAATTATAATTACTTTTTCGATTACTTTCGATTACTTTATACACAAATGGATGTTATAATGGAGAATTATTTCGAGTCAGTCACACATAAATATCAAATATAAACCACCTAGTGTAATGTTTAGATTTCCTTACTTTTATTATCATACGTTTAATAATGTTCTCAATAAAATTTGCATTATAGACCTACTGGTCTAGTACTTAATAATTCAGAAGTGTATTTCAACCATTTATTAATAGAATATACAGATTTTTCGTGTGCATTTTACATTTGACCCACTGTCCTCTTGCTTCATGTCCTTTTTCATATTTAAGATGTTGAAAAACTTTGTCTTGTAATAGAAAATTATAAACAGCAAAAACAGATTTAAGTGCTGTATTAAATATAAATTATTTGGTAAATAAACTACATTGTACTCGAAAAAAAAAAGAATATGGAAATACTTATTCATATCTGAAAATGTTTAAACAATTTCAAACTTGTGTTTTAGTAACTTTAAAATTTGCAAAATCATTCTCATGATTTCATTCAAAATTGTAAGGTTGTTTTTATATCAGTGAGAGGTTGTAAGTGACTGTAAGAGAGGGAGTGTGTCACTGTGTTTGCTTATCTTAATTCGCTAATTAATTGACTGAGACATCCCTGATTGGCAGATAATGAGGTGTAAACTGTGAACTACCTAGTGTTTAACTTTCATTCCATTGAAGACAAACAATATTATTAAAACAATTAATAGCTCTCAAAACACTTATTTCAAAATAGAATGAAATTGTGCTATTAATTTAATTACTTAAAGACACATTTAATTTACATGTTTATTACTAAGAGTTATAATTTACTAATTTTTTGAAAAAGACACGTACAGGAATGTTTAATGTGTACTGTCAACATACGGGCAGCCTAAATACTTCTAATGAAGTAATTCACAATAAAATATCAAATAATTTTTGCAACAAGTCAATAAATATGGAGGTTCAGATCCAAGGTTGAAAGGAATAATTAATATCTAGGCATATTTTATTGTAGGAATCATGTCTCCACTTTCCATGGTAGAGAATCCCTCATTTGGGCATTTAGTGAGAATGTTAGCCAGAATAAAACCTTAAAAGAATCTGCACTGAAACTGCAGGAACACATTCAAACTTCAGTGGATAACATCAAAATTTAGTGATTTACCATTAAATATTACTTTGATATTTGAAGAGATAAAAACTTTGAAGTAATCGATTATTAATCGATTACATCTTCCAAAATAATCCATTACAATCGATTACAGGACAAAAATGAGTGTAATCGATTAATAATCGATTACACAAAATTCCTCTAAGTAATCGATTATTAATCGATTACATTTTTCAGTAATCGTGCCCATCCCTGTCTTATACATTTGTGTCTTTGTGGAGCAAGGTTTAAACACACAACACTGGACTCCTGCTTTACACTACAAATTAACCTGTTACAAATTCTCTTACCATTTTCTTTTTCATTTTCTTCTGGTGCATGTCAAGCAATGATTCAGTGCCACGATTTTTCTGGAATCAAAAAATAAATCTTAGTTAATCATACACTTAATCATAAAGCAATCTCTTCAGAATGACTGACCTAAACAAGATTACATCAGTTAATTGCTACAAAGCTCCAAGTTTCTTATTTACTAGAAAATACAGAATAGTCTCCTGAGTCTAATAGTTTAAATGGTATCCTGTGACACCTTACTGTATTACTTAATGAGAAATCTGTTATTTGTCAGACATTGTACAGTAAAACACGTTCATAGTGAACATACTTAGAATGAATTGATGCTTATAGCAAAGTGACTTTCATTCCCTGTGTCTTTAAAATATTTTGTGAACTTATTGGATATAACAAATTACATTTATAACAAAGCAAAATTGTTCATCCCTACCACTTCATTATAAGCGTGTTTTACTGTACTTGTATTACAATAAGTGAAATCTAATTATCTGAGACTACTTACATTAAATTTGTCCACCTCTGACTTGATCTGTTGATCTCTGCTGCTGGAAGCTGCCTCATTGTGAGATCGTTTTCTGTTTCCTTTATTCCCCTCCTGAAATAAATTTATAGATATTACAATGTTTTTCTTTCAGAAAGCAAAAGTGATAATGATTATCCTATTTAACTTTGAACCTACTTCTTCATTACATTTCTGCTACAATTTATTTTCGTATGCTAGAAAATCCTCTTTTTCAATGGGTTCAGGCTCTTACTGAATTTTTTTTTAAAACAAATTGTTTTAGATGGTAAAAAGAACCTATAATGATGAATTACCAACTGATATGTCATCTATAAGTTCGACCACTTAAAATCAATGAATTAAAAACATAACCTTCAGACTGACAAAATAAAACACCTTTGCCTGAAGTAAGGTTAAATTCAAGTTGAACTAAGATCAATTTAACAGTTAAACCAACATGATATGCACCATCTTCTCTTTGTTGTTAAAATTTACTATGAAAGTAAATCTGACATTAACAGTCCATTCCATTGTGAAAAAATGTAATATTACAATATTCCATAATAAAGTGTAAATAAGAGTTATTTCCCCTTTTGTAAAATGAATTCTGCATCTAACTACACAGCAGGGACAGTATTATCACTTACAGTACTGTATAAATAAGAAGTTGACTAGATACCTAAGGGGTATCATGTGTCTTATATATGCTTTAGATGTAGCATTATAAAAGATTATCAGCTGAATAATCATTAGTGTATTAGCTAAACTATGAAAGAACCATGATGGTTGAAGGACAGGGAAACAAGACCAGTATCACGTCACTCACCCTCACAATATCAGGGTAAATTTACTATGAAAGTAAATCTGACATTAACAGTCCATTCCATTGTGAAAAAATGTAATATTACAATATTCCATAATAAAGTGTAAATAAGAGTTATTTCCCCTTTTGTAAAATGAATTCTGCATCTAACTACACAGCAGGGACAGTATTATCACTTACAGTACTGTATAAATAAGAAGTTGACTAGATACCTAAGGGGTATCATGTGTCTTATATATGCTTTAGATGTAGCATTATACAAGATTATCAGCTGAATAATCATTAGTGTATTAGCTAAACTATGAAAGAACCATGATGGTTGAAGGACAGGGAAACAAGACCAGTATCACGTCACTCACCCTCACAATATCAGGGGTCCGTTGGTCTAACGTGTTGACTCAGGACCCCTGACGTTGTGAGGATGCAGCAGCAGGTCACTGGGTCATCTTTAAACTACACAGGAATGTTATTACCAATCCCACAAAAACTTCTGTCTGTGAGATACTGACATCCAAAGTGTGCACTAAAAATAAGCAAAATTTTTGTACTATTTCTTAGCCTGCACCTTGAAAATAATTAAACCAGAAGTCTGAAGTTTGGAATCGCATTGTTTTCTTAATAAAGGTTAATCATTTGTAAGGCTTAATCTAATATTTGTACTACATTATCTAGATTATGGTTTTTCATAATACAGACATTTTCCATACATGTAATATATTAAAATTGTAACATCTTGACAGTGTATATTACAGTTTTTCATCATGAACTGGACTAATAAACTTATGTCACCAGACCTTCTCTTTTCTAGCTCTGTCTGCTGGGCTGTCTGTCCACATTGACCGGTCACTCATGTCTGGCCCAGCGTTTGCACGAAACGTTCGAGCGGTCAATCCAATATTCTGGCCAAGACAGTCTGGTAGCTCGGTCATCCACGACTCTCGTTTGGGCTGGCTCTCTGGCTCATTCTACATAAATGGTTTTAAATTATCAAATCTATGAATTTGTAATGCAGTTTTATTATATGTTTACAACCTAAAGTAAGTCTAATCCAATTGAAAATTGCTTTAAATTAAATGGCATATTTATAAAGAATAAAACATGAAAGACAATTTACTTTTCCATCCAAGTGATCTCTCATTTTCTGAGCCCTCCTTTCAAACTCTGCAGAGAAACTGGTCTGAGAATTTCCTGCAGTCATTTCAGTAGGAAGGGGTCCAATGAGATCACTGTCATCATCATCTTCTTCCCCTTCTCTTGATGAAGAGGACTGGGTGTTCCTTTGTAAATGAGGGGGTAGGGAGGGACCAATCACATTATCATCTTTTGTCGCACTGAATGAACTTTGATCACTAGGTAAACATGGACCAATGGAATCAGTTCTAGAATCATTGTCATCAGAACACTTGAATTTAGCAGATAAATGTGGAGGAAGTGATGGACCAATAGTTGACAAACTTTCAGGTGACTTTGATTGAGATATTGAGTGTGTGTCCTTTTTTGCATTAGAACTTTGTGATTGGGTGTGAGATGATTTGAGATGTGATGGCAATAACGGACCAATGCAGGGGGCTTCTTCATCTGATGATGAACCTGCGGGCTGTCCTCCGAAGTTTGGGGGAAGCTGCGGTCCTATCCCATGTCTGCTCTCACTGTTAGATTTCTGTTTAGTTTCTTCTTTTCTTGAATTAGTGAATCCTGAAAATTAATCCAAACTTTACACTGTAATGAAAGCCAATTTCTATTTAAATGTTTGGAAATCATATTTATTATTTCAAAATTATTTTTCTTTTAAGCTCTTTTTAAACTATTTATTTGCATTCCCTGCGTAAACAAAACACATTTCATAGTCACAATTCTAGAAAACACTACAGCTGGAAAAATATATTAAAGAATAAAACATCCGATGATTGATGCACGGTGGTTGCATTGAAAGTAAACACGCAGAAATTCGCACAAAAGAAAAAAGTTACCCGGTGGAAGTGCTGGACCGAAGCATTCATCATCAGACATTATTTTTAGGACTCTAATCAACTTATTTGATAATCTGTTTTATGGAATCGTCCATCTTGTGTTACATTCCGAAACTCGTCCGACAAACACAAGTTCATTGGACCAAATGCACCAATTTCATCCAATCAAAATTAAGTAAAGTTTAGAATTCTTCTGAATCATACAGATGTTTGAAATAGTGAAAAAGCAAACAATGAACAAAAAGCTAGGTTTAACACGGATTGCATTGCACATGTGAATGCAACGTTTGTAAACAGTCACACTAGACGTTAGAAATGCCCAAAAATAAGGGTGGGGGAGGTGGTGGAAAAGGCGCCAAAGGTGGCGGTGGTGATGACGATTCCACAAAGAAACAGGCCAAGGGTGGCAACTCCGTAAAGGTGAAATTTTTTTGTTAATTCCGGCAGTGTCTATATGCACGACCGTCGTGTACTTACTTTTTCATCGGCTATTCGCACGACCGTCGTGTATATAATTTTTCAGTGACTATTTGCACGACCGTCGTGTATATAATTTTTCAGTGACTATTTGCACGACCGTCATGTATATAATTTTTCAGTGACTATTTGCACGACCGTCGTGTATTGTATTTATTAATCAGCTGACCTATTCGCACGACCATTATGTTTTTATTTCATTCGTTGTTTCGTCCCCAGTTAAGTTCGGCACGCACTGGTTTAAGCCTAAAAGCATTTTCGTAAGAAAACATCAGAAAAGCTTTCTTTCATAATGTTTATTTAAATAGATATGTAGATCTAGTTGATATTTTAAACACTAATGAAAAATAATCAAAGACAACCTGTCAAAATCTTTAAATTTATTCTTTTCAGTAAGACAAAAATACTTGTAAAAATCTAATTTATTTCATATGCCCTAGCTCTGTTGAAAATGAAAATATGTTATATATGCTAAAGTGACATATAGGTCCAATGGGCACCGGTCGTTGTAAACCCTCGTATTTGTATATATTCACATGTCACTATAACCATAACAGAATATCTACTATAAATAACTATTTTGGTAGGCTTGTGGTTTTACCCCATCCACCTCAAACCAAATCTCAAAAAAAGCCATAGTGCATTGGCATTGATAGGCGTTTTTGCCTACTCTAGGAGTGATTTCTTAAATACACCTTTAACCAAAATTTTGTCATACAACCTTAGTTTATACATGTAATCTCAAATTAACAATAATGATATTTATAAGTTAATAGTTCCCCTATATAATAATTTTAAAAATCATCAAGTTTGTATGGAGTATATAGTAAATATTGAGGTATCTACCTAAACAATGACAAACTGTTGACAAAGACCATGCACTCTTAATCAGGAAAACAACACTTGAATAATTTTGTGTATTATGGCACTTTATTTTGGTTAAAGGTGGTCTTAATTCATGTTGAAAATGGTGGAAATTTATATATATTCAATTCTTCATCTCATATTATTTTAAGATTTGGCAATCTTTCTTAAATTCATCTATTCAATTTCAATGACTTCGTGGCGCAGTGATATGATTGCTGAAATATGTAAATGTGGTGAATCCGAGTGCGAGCTCAAGATTTTTCCAGTTGTGCTCTTTTATTTAATTTTTTTCTTTGTGTATTTTTTCTACGTTTTCTTTACTATGTTTTAAAATAAACATAATTTCAGAAAGTCATAATATACACGTTACACTTTGAAAGTATCTCGGTAAGATAGTTCTAAACTATTTCATTAAATTTTGCATAGTTACTTGTTTTATTTTTATTGATTTTTGAAATCTTTTGACCCAAAATTAGAGTAATGAACATGTAAAATGATTGTTATATGACATACATGTACTTGCAACTATGAAAATGTAACACTTGTACACAATTGATATTACATTGGTTGATCTTGAATTGAAAAAGAAAAGCTTATTAATAAATAGGGTCATTTCTTTATAAATACTTGAATTGGCCCTGTTGTCGGTAAGACAGCTATGGCTCTTTGCTTCCCTGCCCACGTTCAATTTTTTTATTTTTCTGTAATTAATTTGGTCATCAATATTGGGCCGAAATATGCATTGGCAGATCCAGAATACAACATATGTGTGAGTACACTGTGTGGGTTGAGGGCAAAAAAGGCTATATAGGAGGATAATGTTACTTTTAACTCCTCCTCCCTCCTATCTTCGCTAGCCAAGTGTGAAAGTTAGTGTCTAACCCTGGTGATCTTTAAGAGCCGGTGTTGAGTGATCATCCCCCTTTCCAATTTTTTTTAGGTTTCTAATCTTCATTATTTTTTTTTTAAAGATTTGTTTTTTTATGGCTAATAAATTGCTTCATCTACATTTTTATGAAACTGATAGAAATTATATATTACGATTCGGTTGCATTCTTGCATTCTTCTGGGCACACTTGAATACCTCATAATATACCTATCCTTGTGCATCCATATATTTTATACAGGTATGTAAAATAATCAATTATCCACAGAAGAAGCTGCACCGTAAAAAGAGAGGGGTGTGAAAAGAAATAGCTGTGGGTCATAATATTTAATTCAGTTTCAAATAGAAATACAGTACGTACTATTAAAATGAAGTAGCCTTCAAGTTGGAAAAAAATTAGAAATAGAAAGACTTTAAAGAAATGAGAGAGTACCATAAAGGGGACACGATCATGTGTTCCAGTCCATTCAGACTAAAACTAGTGCAATATGATATTTATGTCCCAGTCCTGTTTCTAAACTTATGTATTTTACAATTCAGATAGGGGAGTGTGCCTAAGACAGCTTTTTTCATTTGATGTTGGATTGTAAATCTTAGACAGATGTCAATCCCTCATATGTTTTATAATTTTTTTTTCTGAAAAAAAGTTGAGGTAAATAAATATCAACATACATGTAATAATTATTTTGATTTAAAAAAAAAACTGTCAATGAAAAAAGATTAAATGTTAAACGATTAAAAGATTTATGTTTGTCACATAAAGCCAGAGACAGGCTCATCTACACTTTAGTCTATCAGCTCAGCGTCTGCTCTAGAGTTGCGGAGTAAGGAGCTGATCCTTACGTCGCGGGTTCGAATCCCACTATAAACCGAGGTCCTGTGTCGCAGTAGGTGCTGGCATGAAAAAGATCCCTCAATGCTCAATGGCCCTCAGTGCCGAGCATAGGTCAAAATTTGCAGCTCTCCACCGGCAAGTGGTGGCGTCTCCGTACGAGTGAAAAATTCTCGAGAGGGACGTTAAACAACAAACAAACAAAATCTGATCAGGATCGGATCAGTTAAATTATTGATTAGTTTTAATTTTTTACTAATTCCTAATTTAATGTGTGTAAAAAGACATATTAAAGTAAAATGTCCGTTCATAAATGCAAACATTTATCTAATAAGAGTTTTTAAATGTCAAAAAATTGACATGAAAATTCATACTGGGTCAAATTATAACTCTAAGTGATCGTGCAAACAACGTTGTATCTTCGAGCACACGATGGTCATGTATACATATGTAATACTAATGACTATTACCGTCGTGTGCATATCACTGGCAATGTGCGATTGCTATTTGCACGACCGTCGTGTAAATAGATTTTTTCTTACATATGTGCACGACGGTCGTGTACATATCTCAGCAATCTGCAATAGCTATTCGCACGACGGTCGTGTAAATAGACTTTCTTTACTATGCGCACGACGGTCGTGTATATATCATCGGCCGTTAATTCCAGACGCCCACAAAATGCATTGACATGTTTGAAGCTTAGGCACTCACAAGCTTAAGAACATTCTCTACACTGCACACTAAAGAGTATTGATTCTGTGGTATTTTTTGCAGTTAAAGTGTTCTGTCCTTAGATCATGTGTCAACTTATGTTCTATGTGCCATTTCCTATGGGGAATACCTAATTGAAGACCTACAGGTAAATGAAGACCTACGGAAGACCTACAAAAATTGGGGTTATATACATGAAATCTGATATGATATTCTTATTCAGCATGTCTTAAATATAAAATATATCTAAAAATATTTCATAAAAATAGGTTTTAAATAGCGGTTTTTGAGCTCGGTATGAGGAACTATTTTTTCTCCCAAACGAACTAGCGCAAGAAAGATAACTCGTGTTAAAGTGTCAATCTACACAAACAGCTGTTCAATAGAGTATTTCTTATTTTGATTCTGAAGAAAAGAAAATAAAAAAAAATAAAAAGAATTTGGAAAAATATGAATTGAAAAATGAAGAAGTTGAGCATTAATTATAGAAAATAATAATAGATTAAGTACAGAAAAAAAAATTATTTCAATAAAAAAGAACTCTTAGCCATAGTTGTGAACTCATTAATCACTGTTAATTATGCATTTAACATACATGATGTATAAATTTGAATCTTTCAATTGAATTGTGTTTTAATATCATTAAGATTTTTTGTATTTATTGCTTGTTTGATATGAAATAAATAATAAAAGAATTGGTATAATTTTATACTGTTCAACAATGTTGGTATTGTTAATGTTAAATGAAACTCAGTGTTTTATGATAGTAAAATAAATTTGCATTGTTGATTTTAAAATATAATCATAAAATCTTTAGGAATTATCTGAGATAAAATTTAAATATATTTACAGTATACATGTGTGTGATTATGTTTCTTAATAGTAGTTTCATGTTATAATTAAGAAACCAATGTTGACTCTAAATAAACACAGACAGGCTGAGTGGGGTCTTCTGTTAATTGCAATCAAAACATGGACATCCTCCAATTGATCTGTGTATATTGGTATTGTGATATTTAATCCAAGATTCCTTCAAAGTGATAATCCAGTTCATGAAAATATGATAAAAGAATTTTAAATTTACATCTTTATAGACATAAAGAATTTCAATATTTTAATCTTATAAATTGAATAATGCTTAACATAATTTTATTGATGCATATAGAAGAACAATTATTGATTAAATCTCCTGGATAATTAAATAAATATAATACTATTAATGCATAATTTTACGTTTACAAATATTTAAAAATGTTGAATTTTTGGTTATATTTCCCGTGTCAACTCATTTCAATTTAATCATACAACACTCGCTGTGGTCTTTTGTTTACGAATCGACGCGAGTTATCTTTCTTGCGCTAGTTCGTTTGGGAGAAAAAATAGTTCCTCATACCGAGCTCAAAAACCGCTATTTAAAACCTATTTTTATGAAATATTTTTAGATATATTTTATATTTAAGACATGCTGAATAAGAATATCATATCAAATTTCATGTATATAATCCACATTTGTGTAGGTCTTCCGTAGGTCTTCATTTACCTGTAGGTCTTCAATTAGGCAGGCCGTTTCCGATGTGCCATTTCCTGAAGGTATCACACCGGTAATTGTTTTCACTATGTAATTCTATATAGAATAAAAAATCA